GTTTCATTCGAAAACCTCAAACCATGAAGATTCTATGAAAATTCAAAAAACCTATTGCAATAAAACGGCAATTTCATACTTTAACCCCTAATATATTTACTTTTGTAGTTAAAGATAGTTATTTTTTGTTACCATTCTTGTAGATAAATACTTAGAGCATTATAAACTATTTACTGCTTTAACCAAAAAGGGTCAACACGCTTCATGTTTGAAGTAGTTCAATGATTACATTACTTTAAAAAAATAAAAAAAATATTATTATTCGAAGGTAACATTATAAAGTCTGTTTGTAGAATTTTGTGCCTATATCAAAATTATATGCAGTGCATCAACCTTTATATTAACACTTTTTTTTTAAAGTTTACATAATTGAAATATGAGGCGTATTTTTTACAAGGGTGTATCTATTTTGACTTCAAGGTCGATTTAGTCTTCGAATACTCCACACAATACACAACAAACGAACAATGTAAAATTCAATATTTCATTTCCGATTACATGAAGTGGTTTTTTTAATATTATTGATTTTGTTTTCTGTATCCGGATAGATTATAAAGTTTCTTTTTCAGGTAAATGACAAAAACCAGCAATGTGCGTCTGGCGGTTGTTCCCCGAACTCTGACCGTAGTGTTTCGCCGAAGCCTATCAAGTAGATGAAAGAAAGAACTCAATTTAAAAAGCAAAATAAAAATCTTTATTTACGTTGGAAATGATCTTAAATAGCTTATATTTGTTTTTTCAAACAAACCTACATTTCGAACTCTTTACAGTCATCAATCAATAAAGTCATCAACCAGTTGTGTCCAGACGTTAGAGAAAGACATATCTTTTTATTGAATCGATTCAATAGAAAGACATATCTTTCTATTGAATCGATTTGCTTGAAAAGCGCACTGAAATAAATCTAAAAATCATTGATCGTATGTATTTGAATAGATCTTCATAAAAGTCGAATCGTAATGTCCTTAATAGTGGAGATGCCTCTTTTTCGTGTAAAAAAGATTTTTTACATCGAAATTTGTAATAAAGATGGAATTATAACAAATTCCATTTGTTTTTGCTCTCGATTTTGGGCAAAACTGGGTTAGGTAAAACCCGGTTAAAACCGGTGCAGGTTGATTGGGTTTTAACCGACTGTCTATATCCGGTTATGTCTAATATTAATGCGAGTCACCTTTTTCTTTACTACACTGAATTGATTAGTTACCAGAAAATTTAGTTTAAAAAAAAATTGGAAATAATATAAAAAAATTATATCTAGTGCTGCAGTCTTACATTTGCTTGGTATTTTTCATCAAAGGAAATATTGAATGAAATAATTTATTAAAAAATTAACATTGTTAAAATAAAATATTTCGCACGTCGTATGTAACTCAATCTGGAATGTACCTTGGTAAATTAAAAATAAGGTATTTACATTAATACATTTTGTAATTATAGTAAGTATGCGTTAATATCAGACATAAATGGTTGATGACTTTTCTATCTAAGAGTCGTATTCCAGAACTATACTCAATACTCAAGTCAGGACTTGAGTAATGCAGTGAGCACTGAAAATCATACTCAAGTCCTTGCCATTAGGGTCGTATTTCCAGTGCTTGAAATCATACTCAAGTCTGCTCAAATCCTGACTTGAGCATTAAGTAGAGTTCTGGAATACGAACCTAAGACGCCGCGCAAACGTATGTCTGGTATTGGACATAAGCAACTGGTAACTGGTAAGAAGCGAATATGCTTTTTTCATATATTTATTTTTTATTTTTTTATTTTAGAACCTTGATTCATTTCCAATGTGTAGCAATCGCGATATACTAAGAACTCGATTTATATCTATTCTTATAAATGTAACACGTAACTTTTAAAAACTATAAATTCGAAAATTATTGCTTATTGTACTTAAAATGTAAAACACAATAAAATTGATAATGAATTTCAAAGTTTACAAATTTGTAGGTACAATTAGAATATATTAAAACGTTTACTTATTAATTAGTCTTAGAGCATACAGTACAACATATTTACTTTATGCATTAAGAAATATGATTATATTATATAAGTTTAAATAAATATAGCTGAGCGAATATCCATTGTGACCTTTTAATTTACCGACTATTTGCTTTTTTTTAATAATGTCAAATGACGGGACGAACAAGTCGTGCACCTGTTGGTAAGCTACTAACAGGCGTACGACCTGTACTTGTACTTGTAATTGTACGTGGCACTCAGAGCTTTAAATCGCAAAGATCTGAGGGGCACTGCCACTGCGCCGGTCACCCTGAGACATAAGTTGACAAGTCCCATGTGCCTGTAATTTCACCAGCACCCTTACCCCTCAAAATCGGAACACAGTAATGCTGACATTACTGCTTGGCCGCAGAAATAGGCAAGGTGGCAGTACTTCCCTGGACGAACTCTTTCATAAGGAGCTCTACTGCTACTAAATAGTAGCTTATCCATTAAGAGAAGAATGGTAGTTAAAAATATACCCTGATGTCATGCGGGACATTGATTTTAAGACGCTTCGTGTATTATCTTTGCTCACAATTACATATCGCTCTTACGTCAACATGGCTGTCCGACATAAAACAAGATGTTATAAACCAAACATAAACTTACGGATAAAGCTGCAAGCTAAAATAGAAATGATTTAACTATTCTTTTGGTAATTTAGTACTAAAGAGCGTATCGATGGAATAACAATATTAAACAAACAATCTTTGGAACGAATCCAACAAAAGAAAAGGTATATTTTGAGGAAAAACGTAGCACAGATATTATTTGATCCTCGTTTGATCTTAAATCTTCAGCTGCGGGAGACGGAGTACCGCTAAGGTTTAGGCAAATTGCCAACATTTCAAATATTAATTTTTTTAACCAAATGATGCAACAGAGTCGAGGCCTACGTCTACAAAAGTGGACACGTGTGTGCCTAGCATGAAATATTAATAACAGGATGGCTAACTTGGATGTCTACCACTATACGATTAATAAAGTAAATATGCGATGTTGTGTCACAAATCAATTTTGCCAAAACTAACTTTTGCCAAAAAGTCACTGTCAAAATTTTTCAGATCTTTGTCAATTATTATATCCGGTTATTAATGACGTACCTTTATTTCTTAGAGGTTTATTTAGAGGGTTCTCAAAGCGGAATAAAACTTATTGTAACACATGCCATTAATGAACCTTGCAACTTACATTAAGTCCTTGCATTATTATTACATTACACATTATTACTACACAGGGTCAAGAACACGTCGAGACGTTGTCGGTCGAATTAGGCACTGAAGTTTTAAATTCAACTCTACACCGCGTGCAATACGGAAGATCCAAAGTTCAAAGTGATGTGCGCTTTAGCGTACATATAATTGATATCTGATCAAAATTGTATAAAGTTGGACATACGTTTTTTTAGGATAACGAAAATGGACGCGTTAAATAATTGCTTATGTCTTTATTCTACAAATAATTTATTTCGAAAGTTACGTTTTTTTATGATATCAAGTGACGGGACGAACAAATCGTACATATGGTAGTAAGTATGAGCTTCAAATCGAAAAAGATCTGAGGGTCACTGCAAACGCGTCCGGAGACGTAAGTTGACAAGTCGCATATGCTTGTAATTTGTGTACAACTATTTGAATCAGCCTGTATTTGACACACGTATATTAAACTCAAGTCCTTGGCAATGCTTCTTGAATTTAATTATAACTACTTGCGTATCTGTCAAAATCGTATAAAATTTGGCAAGTGACCGACATACGATGCTAGATGACATGTGGAATTCGGAAGGTAATTTATTTAGGCGGTAAACGTTCAATTGACCTTTGATTTCGTTGTTGATTGCAAAGTTTTTGGGACTAATTTGTCCCAGTAAAACATGCGGTTCATAGTACTGTGTCATGAATGAAACAATAAAAGTAATGACTCGTGGACTCGTAACAACCGCTGTAAATATAGCGATCATAAAAATGTAGTAAAAGGTACTTACCAAATTAGAAGCCGTTTGGATCAAAGACAAAGAGGATTCGGTGTGAAAATGAACTAAACTAGAATACAGATCGTGTACTATAATTCAAAGCACAAACGAGAATATTATTACGTCACTAAATGTGGTACGCATAAGTAATTCCCACTTCTTGATTATATAATTTTCTTAGACTTTATTTATGTAATTTAAATATAGAAAAAGAAACTTGAAATGCTAAAAACACTATTAAATTACGTAAAATGCGCTATTTGTATACCATTCTACTATGGCATCACGATAACATTTATATTAATTTAACTCAAGAAAATAGGTCAGTAGAACAACGCAGTATCAGGGGTGGACCACACAACCTTTGTCACTTGTCAAGAAGGCTGGATCCTGTTTCATGAGATATTGTAACGTTCCACAGCAAAATGGGAACTATTAATATAAAATATTTGCGTAATGTACGCAACGTATTTCATTGTTGATAATTAAATATGGATGGAGTATACACGACGAGTGATACAACCAATTCGTGTGCATATTTCGGCACCGTTCGTAAAGTTAGCGCTCGTGTGAAATAGTTATTTTCGTAAGCAAGTATTTAGAAGAAAAATTAAAAACTTATTTCAAAATTATAAAATTATTGGCAACAATTGCATGGATAATCAAATAATTGAAAGCAAGATACATTTACACTAGTAGAGTTTACAGCATACACGAAAAGTTTCAAATTAACTTATAATAACTGCAGCTGATTTCGTTTCAAACAAGAAAAGTAATCATTTTACCAAAATCAGTTAAAAATAGACGCACAATGAATAGCGAAAGAGTGTGAGTAGAAAATTGTTCTAATGGTTCAATATTGAAGTTCCAGCTTCCAGCGGGAAAGCCCAGCAGGCACAGTCGCGCCGAGCGCCCGCCGCGTCACCACGCCACCGCCGCCGCCGTCTCTTGCCGCCGCCCGCCCACGCAAATCGATATTACTGTACCGCCGCACATGTACGCTTTTATTGCCACACGTATAAACATTTTATGATAATTTAAAAAGTTTTATCTCGCGGTTCTTCAATACCATACGCATTGCAATTTTTCACATCACCGCCTTCCGACGGTTATCGCTTTGTTTCGAGCGCGACATTTTTACTCCACAAAGTAAACAATAAAGTAGACAAATAACGTAGGTACGCTAGAAACAGCTGACTTTCAACGTAACAGCTGTTCGTATGGAGACTACAAAGGCGTCGAGCTTTAAAACGAGGTATTTTAATTAGAAATCTTAAATCAGTTTACAGTTGCTCAATTTTATTACCCTCAATTTATTGGGGTACTGATATATAGCCTGGTGAAGTAATCCAGAGTTTCGATTGACGTATTTTACGGTAAGTGTGACTTTTGATGTTGTAAATATAACGGCGAGGTGACTTTACGCGTATGAACTCGTGTTAATAGATTGTGTAAAATATGCGTGTGGTTTGAGCACATGAGGGCGCGCGAGTACGTGAAGGTCGGTGCTTGCGTCGACGCAGCGTCGCCTGTCCAGGGAAGTTGGCAATGTGCGCGGGCGCGTCACTCGCGGTGACGCGACTCGTTAGGCGTTGACTCGTCCGTGGCTCCCGCGTCTGTGCCGTCAGTTCAACCTTGCGCGCGCTTAGGACATGTACGTGTTATGGATTACCAATGCATCGTCGTGTACACGGTCATCAACATCGCTTCTCCGCGTCTCACGGCACAGGCCGCGGACTTCTCCGACGGCTGTATCACCTGGTTCAAAAACAAAATTAAAAGGTTAGTTTAAGGAGTTTTCACTTATAAGTTATTTAATTTTGTATTAGATACAAGATTCAAAATCTTGGAACTTTATAGTAATTATTTATTTATTTATCTAGTATCTATTCACATATTATTACATTTAATTACTTCTCCTTTGTATTTGTTTACTGTTTTAAGTACGCTCCACGTTAATAAAAAAAATGTAACTGATAAATATGTGTGATACATGACACTATACATAACGCAAAGCATAGATTTTCTACAAGAGAAGATTGGGACTTACCCTTTGGACCGACCTCATTGTATGCGCAATGGAGTTGAATTTAAATCTTAACTGTACATCGTTTTCTTAAATGCATTTTTCCAAATGTTTCTCTTGGCAGATATTATTAAAAAAATCTATTTATGCAGGTATTTGTATTATTTTCCATTGCTATGTATCTCATTCGAATAGTAAGTGAAACGATCTTCAGGCTGGTCCTACTTGCCTGAGACCTACTTGGGCAAATAGTACGTTACACGTTATGGGCTTTTCGAATACTATAAAACGAATGCAATAAATTATTAATTCTCTCTAAAATAATCAGTGTCACATAATTATTATACTTATCCATTTTTATAATACAATGATATGAAATTTATAACCGGAAACCTTAAATTATACGATATTTTTATAACCGCCTTTCTTAGACCTGCGTAATTTAAAGAGGGTTTATTATTTTATTTCAGAGCGGTAGCAGTTTACCTTCACTCATTGAAAATAACACCGAACAGCGGTCTAGCCCAGGGAAACCTGGCATGCACCTATTACAAACAAGGCCTAATAGATTTAGCGATAGAGACGTACAAGAGGGCTATAGAGATCCAGCCCAATTTTCCAGATGCCTATTGCAATCTTGCTAATGCTCTCAAAGAAAAGGGACTAGTTTCCGAGGCGGAGGAGTGCTATAACAAAGCTTTACGTTTATGTCCCCTCCACGTTGACACTCTCAACAACCTGGGCAATGTCAAAAGGGAACAAGGAAAAATTGAAGAAGCTACCGTATTGTACACGAGAGCACTGGAAGTATTCCCTAACTTTGCAGCCACTCATAGTAATTTAGCATCACTTTTACAGCAACAAGGTTTGTACATCACGTTGATATAATTAAATGTTTGTAATTATAAAGTTCATATCTGCTCTAGCGAAAATGTGGCATATTGCGTGTGTTAATTATATTTTCTTTTTTCCCAGCTATTTAATTAGCTCCAATAAGTACTTGCGAGTAATTAACATTATGAAGGTTGTAAATCAAATTACGTGTTTTAAATCGTTTCCGCATTCATAAATTCGTGTACAAAATAAAAATCAATATAAATAGCTGCGTTGGTATGTTCTGTTAGTTTCTGCAAATAAGTGAGGATAATGGTTTTAATTTCATATTCTTTATTTAATCAGTACAGTCCACGAAAAAAGTCGCACATCATGTATATATTTTAAAATTTCCTTTGAAATAAAACACCTGCGAAGAAACTCAGCAAGATAAACCTAATAATATTTACTATGATTGTACCTATTCTTTTATATTGATTTAAATTTGCCTTAAAAATCTCTTGAATACCTGCAATTTTTTTTTACTTGATTGTACAATTAGAGAGTTCGTAAATGGTAACTAACTTGCGCTAATGTTATTAACATGCTTATGCAATTACCTGGCACAGTTTTGTTATAGTACCGTTTCTTTTAACCTGTGAATACTATACAATCCAAATATACATAATATATGATTGCCTCAGTGGCTGAACAGTTACCACGCTGAACTGCCACGCAGAGGTCCTGGGTTCGATTCCCAGGCCGGAAGAAATTTGTATGGCCCACATATATTTCTCTCGTGAGTTTGGGTGTAATTTGTGGTTGTCTTTGTGTGTGTCCATGGCACCGCACAGGGTTTCTCTAGTGCGGGGCTATGAAACAGTACATTATTATAGTTGTTATTATATCAACCCTGGACATCCTTTTGGAAGAGCTCTGAAGCCAAGTTTTATTTCTGTAAATAAAAATCTTTCGTACTTAGGTATTCACGATTAAGTTACACGATATATGTATTTGTTTTTTCAAACAAATCGACGTACTGGTTTTATGTAAAACGCTCGTAACAAAAAAAACTGCCTTGAACATGCGACCTGTAAAGGACCCTAAACGGTGGTTTGTTTGAAAAAAAAAAAAACAAATTTATGCGATTTTTATACCAAGAAATAGTTTCATTTCAAAAAAATTCGTCACAATTTCAGGGAAACTCCACGAAGCGTTAATGCATTATAAGCTAGCCATAAATATGCAACCAAACTTTGCGGACGCATACAGCAATATGGGAAACACTCTTAGAGAAATGCAGGATATATCCGGCGCTGTTATTTGCTTTACAAAAGCAATAGAAATAAACCCGTCATTTGCAGATGCACATAGCAATTTGGCAAGCATTCACAAAGATATGGGCAACATTTCCGAAGCTATTGACTCTTATAAGACAGCATTGAAGCTTAAACCTGACTTCCCGGATGCTTACTGTAACCTGACTCATTGTCTACAAATAGTGTGTGATTGGGACGATTACGAGGAACGTATTCAAAATGTTGTCTTGATCGTTGACAAACAATTAAATAGTGAAAAATTATCGTCCGTTCATCCTCATCATTCCATCTTATATCCATTATCTAACGAAGCTAGAAAGGAAATTGCCGCGCGGCATGCCAATTTATACTCTGAAAAAGTAAGTATGTGCGATAAAATTACTTTTCAATATGAAAGAAAGTTGCGAGGACGTTTACGGGTGGGTTATGTCAGTAGCGACTTTGGTAATCACCCTACATCACATTTAATGCAGTCTATACCAGGTTTGCACAATCAATGTGAACTGGAAATCTTCTGCTATGCTTTGAATCCTGACGATGGTACAACATTCCGTAGTAAAATGGTGAATGAATCTGAACATTTTGTTGATTTGTCCAATGTAACGTGTAATATAGAAGCTGCTAGAAAAATTAATAACGATGGAATACATATTCTAATAAATATGAATGGATATACAAAAGGAGCAAGAAATGAAATCTTCGCTTTAAGACCTGCACCGATACAAGTTATGTGGTTGGGCTATCCGGGGACCAGTGGTGCAAGTTATATGGATTATGTAATAACTGATGAAATCTCCTCTCCGCTATCGTCGGCGTCTGATTTTAGTGAAAAGTTTGCATATATGCCACATACATATTTTGTCGGAGATCATAGGCAAATGTTTCCACATCTGAAGGAACGATATAACGTCAAAGTTAAAGAAAATAATTTGAATGAAAACGTAGCTTTAATTAATTCATCCGAAGATTTTAATATGTCTGAAAAATTTTGTGTACTTGAAAGAAAAGAGATAATAACGTACGGTTGTTTTGAACCAATAGAAGTTAATGTTAGAGAAATTAACATTCCGAATTACGTAATTGAATCGACAATAAATCCCAGGCAAGTGCAGGTACGTTATTTATTTTGTTACTTCATTTAATTTCAGGTCTTGTTCAAATAATTAAAATGTTTTGTATTTTTTAGGTTTACTTTAACGGAGTAACTATTAGCAATGGTATATCGATAAACTATACCAATAAGAAAGTTGCATCCGGTGAAGAAGTTTTAGACAATATTGTATTTACTTCAAGAAAACAGTATGGTCTTCCAATCGACGCCGTAGTTTACTGCAATTTCAACCAGTTGTACAAAACAGACCCCAAGGTATTAGAAATGTGGGTGAGAATACTAAAATTGGTACCAAACAGTGTACTTTGGTTGTTAAGTTTTCCGGCTGCTGGAGAGCCAAATGTACGGAAATATGTACAGAATTTAGGTTAGTACTACTATGTTCATTGGTGTATGTATTTTATACAAACCACTAGAAAATGGATATTTCCTTAAAACTTCAGGGTTGCCCGCTGATCGAGTTGTATTTTCAAAAATTGCTTGCAAGGAAGAGCATGTGCGTCGGGGGCAGTTAGCTGATGTCTGCCTCGACACGCCCCTGTGTAACGGTCACACAACTGCAATGGATGTGTTGTGGGCTGGAACACCTGTAGTCACCTTACCTGGAGACACCCTAGCCTCGAGGTAAACGGTACAAATTATGTTTGTCATTCCTCCAAAATACTTAAAACCGGCATCTACTTAAACTTGAACACATGGGCGCCTTCTATCCTTCTCAGTATTTATGTTAAATATTTATGTTCATATAATTTCGAATACTTTAAAAGCTTTGCTCGTATTTTACAGAGTCGCTGCATCGCAGTTGAATACATTGTGCTGTCCTGAACTTATAGCCAGGAATACACAGGAGTATGAAGACATTGCGGTCAAGTTGGGAACCGATATGAAATAGCAAGTTTATTTATAATTATTTTATTATAAGAAGTAAATGCCAAGAATATGTGTTATACTATATATTCTAGGTATGTAACGTATTCATTTTAAGATAGTACGTTTGCAAATTATGCAAGCGTCTTAAGAGAGCCGTCCTCAGCAGTGGGATGTACACAGATTGATGTAACAAGTCTCACTGCAGCAATCTATTGATTTTTTGAATATAAAGTTTGCTTATCGAGTTCTTAGGTTTTCGCGATTGTTACACATAGGAAATGACCATGAGACCTGTAAAGGGCCCGAAACGTCGGTTTGTTTGAAAAAACAAATATACGCGATTTAAATCCGGAAAAATAGGTTAATTTCATAAAGTTTGCTTTTTATGGTTATGAATGATGAAATTTATATTTCATATTAATTATTTTTCAGTCTCCAGTATGTCCGAGCTAAGGTTTCCAAGGCCAGACTGACCAGTACTTTGTTTGACTGTACTCACTATGCGAGGGGTTTGGAATCACTTTACTTTAAAATGTGGAGACGATATGAAAATTTAGATAAACCCGATCACATCAACACCCGTTCGTGAATTTTAACTACAAACAGTATTAACAGGTATTTGAAAGGTAAACATTATACTACTATAGCTAATTAGCGTCAGGAATGAGTTCAAACTGGCCTGTGTTCAGCGTAACTGGAGGCCTACCACAACCTCTTAAAACAATATTACTTTAACCTTGTATTGACTTTTCGTACCATAGAGCGATTAAAGTAAGCTTATTTGTAATGTTAAAACTATGATGTTTTATTAGCAGCTTTGTGACTATTCATTCACTCAGTTCGTACTATGACGCGACTTTGATATTAAAGTAATATTGCTCTTATGTCAAATTTAGCAATCTTAAAATAGTTACTCGGATGCAATGGAAACAATATTATTTTCAGTTTTATTGTCTTAATATTGATTTGTAATGATTAATAGTTAAGTTAAACTTATTTATTTACATATATCTCTTCAATATTTTGTTTATTTAGTACATAGGAAATAATATCTCGTAAAATAAAAATACGCGATATTTATTTCGTAAAATTATGACAGCGCCATCTATATGCTCCTTGGTGAAATTAACAGTTGACACTAGGCTATGGTTCCGAATTCACAACGTGACTATCAAGACTTAGCTTGTTTTATTTATTTTTCTTCATGAAAATGCGAAATAATAATTGAAAACAACGTAATTTTAATAGATTTCATTATTACATACTTTTCATTATAGGCAGTTCTAAATTCTCTGAATGTAATTAATATTAAGTACTATAACATTATACTACGACAACACAATTCGGAACATAAAAAAAGAAAGAGATGGAATTATACAGTTCATATAGCGTTATTTCTTTCCTACTTTTAGTAAGGTATAGACAAAATCATTCGTTCTTTCAGTCACTTTAGCAATAATACATTACTTGGTTGATAGGTTTGTCATGGTACGAAAATGAGTATTATTACAATCAGCGTACTTTATGCTTACATTGAAATAAGATTGTTTTTGGAAAGTCAAAGTCAAAGTCAAAGTCAAAATATGTTTATTTCGGAGGCA